AAAAATGTCACTTTTTTAGTGCATTCACTTTTACAGCACTGTAATACATGTGGGTCAGAAAGTTCTGAGAACAAGTTGATGCCGTAGCATGTTTAACTGGGATGAAGCGGCTCATGTCTCCTGTGTTTTCAGATGACGAGGACGGGATGGATGCAGCAGACAACGAACGACGGCCTCATTTCCCACAGTTCTCCTACTCAGCCAGCGGGCGGGAGTGAGCGCTCGGTCCCAGTCAGCCACCGTCGTCCCCATTCGTGGCCATTTTGAGGAAAACACGTAGCCATTCTAGGAAAAAGAAAATACCAGTCTCCCCTCTTTCTCCTCGTCTGCCTCGTCACAGCGGGGGAGAAGTCTTTTTAGGGACTTTAAAAGAGGTTTTTGCACAGTGGGATAGACTCAAGCTGGTCTCCCCACACTAAAAAAAAAAAAAAAAAAGTCTCCTACATCTTCAGCGCTATTTACTGCAGAAGGCAATGTTTTTGTTATTTATTTTTTATTTTCTCTCTCCACCAGTATTAAGTTGTTGAACCCATGATCTTTGCGATGATCTTTATGTTTGTCGTTTCTGCCCTTTTTTTTTTTTTTTTTGATGTTTTTGCACTTGGTTTCGAAGAGCCGTTTTAGGGAACAAAAAACCAAAAATGTTGCCTTACGTGTGCAAATGTTTTGTATCATGCAGACAGGGTGGTTTTGCTGTTGTCTGTTTGTTTAGTTTTTTTTCTTTCGGGAGAGGGCAGCCGGATTTTGGGTCCGGAGGGGGAAGGGTTGTCGCCCTTTATTCGGGGATAAGCGCATGGCTCCAGGTTCACTCATTTCAAAAGGAAAACAAAAACATCTGTTCGTTTTGTCATGGTGGCACACCTTCCTAATGCCATGGCAAAGAAAATCAGCTGAGAAATAAGAAATGAGTCTGTACCGTTTCCTTCATGGCTGCAGCGTCGCTACTTTTTTACCGTATCAGATCGACTTTATGGTTCCTTTTTCTGAAACACTAAACTGCCGCACAGCTCACTCAGGCGCTACAGAGCACAAGCAGGTTCAGACTCAGCTAAGCGCTCCAGCTTTCCACAGCCACACTCTATCTCTGCTTCTCACTCCTCCTCTTCTGTTTGCTCGTCTTTGCTCTAAGACAAGGGGAATAACTGTTCCCACAGGGAATCCTAGTTTAAAGTATGCCTGAGCTGTATGTATGTATGTATGTGGGAAACAGACGCTGTCATAGCGTACACTAACACTACAAACAGAGGCATTTCCTGCCTCAGGTCAGACTGGCGTTGGTGGTTAACTCCAGGATAAATCAGATTTGGTGTTTTTGGGTGCAGGGTTCCAGGCTCACCAGCAGGGGGAGCTCAGCAGTTTGCACAGAGACCTCTGATGATTTCACTCCTGTGTGTCTTTGTGAGACGTCCCAAACCCTGCCAGGTTGTTCAGGTTGTTCTGTGGTCTCGTCAACTATCCCTGGATTTAATTGGTTAAAATCTGATAGTTTTTCCTTCCTCTGATTGGCTCACGTTCCTCTAATCATGCCTGGATATGTGGTCTGAGCTGAGAAGTTAATCTGACAAGAAATAATAAATTAGCTGTGCTTCCTCGAGGATCCGGAATCAGATTTTGTGCCATGAGTGAAACTTTAGTTAAATTTCTGTAGTTACACAAAAAATAAAACAGAAATGTTGGTAAAATCCAACAGGCCTTATTTTAACCAATAAAATCAACTATTATCACCTCTGCTAAAATAACAGCACTGTTTTATATTATCCATTGATTTTCATGTAGAGACTTGATCTAAGAAAAAAAAACAGCCGCTTGATGAAGGATTAGTTTTTACGGAGCCCCTAAAGGGACATGGAGGGAGGAAAAAAGAACTTTTGCGAGATCTCGCAATACTTTTGCGACATCCCGCAATAGTTTTGCGAGATCTCGCAAAAGTTTATTTTTTGCAAGATCCCGCAATAGTTTTGCGAGATCCCGCAATAGTTTTGCGAGATCCCGCAAAAGTTTTGCGAGATCCCGCAAAAGTATTGCGAGATCCCGCAAAAGTATTGCAAGATCCCACAATACTTTTGCGGGATCTTGCAAACGTTTATTTTTTGCAAGATCCCGCAATACTTTTGCGAAATCTCGCAATACTTTTGCGAGATCTCGCAATACTTTTGCGAGATCCCGCAATAGTTTTGCGAGATCTCGCAAAAGTTTATTTTTTGCGGGATCTCGCAAAAGTTTATTTTTTGCCGGATCCCGCAATAGTTTTGCCAGATCCCGCAATAGTTTTTGCGAGATCTCGCAATAGTTTATTTTTTGCGAGATCTTGCAAAACTTTATTTTTTCCCTCCATGTCCCTTTAGGGGCTCCGTAAGTTTTCTAGTGCAGACAGTAGAATTGAGTTTTTTCCTGAATCGTTTGATGCTAACCAACTACACACGTTCACTAAATTATTGGCTCTATTATAACGTTAAATGAAGAATTTAAGAAATCTAACTTTTTATCTGCTAATTTTGTGGGGGAGATCCCATGTAAGCCTGGGATCCCAGTTCAAAAAATTGGCAACTTTTTGTTGCGTTTATGTTGGTCAGTTTCCAAAAAACTCATTTGTTCTTCTGGACTTTTTCCTTTTGGCATCACTATGTCGAGACACGGAGGAAAATGTCTTTTAGCTACTGGATAAGGAGCCACATGCAGCTTGAGGTCAGTGTCTCCATGACGACTGTTAGAAAGCATCCTCGTGGCTTTTCAGCAGCAGGTCCACAAATACCTAACATACCTAACAATACAGTTAAGCACAGTGGAGGATCTGTGATGCTGTGGGTTTCTCCTCCATAAGCTGGAGGCATCATTAATACCAGCTCTTACGGTTAGTAAGAACAATGATCAGCAGCAAAAACGATGTAAATCAAACCAGAAATTTGAAACTGAAATTTTACTTTTTTCCCTTTTCGGCTGCTAGAAGAGAATCCAAGGGGATCTGTGGGATTAGAAGCATTAGAGGGTTAGCTATTAATCTCGGCTATTTATCCCGTTGCACTTAAAGGTGGTTAATTGGAAAATAGTTTCCACCTTTATGTTTGCTAACAGGTTTTCCATGTCTTAATTAACTCTGAAAACACCACATCCGATCTATCCGTGGAGAATACTGCCAGTATGATCAGGGTTCCTGCAACGCCCATAAAGGAAGTGATTCAAAGGAGCAGGGATGTCGAAAGCATCTGCAAACTTTGGTTTTCTGCAGGAACTCTGAGCCGACCACATTAGTTTTCAGTTTTAACCAAGAGGAGACGTATATACACATGTTAATAGAAATCAAAGGTGTAAAGAAAGTAAAGTTTATCATACGGATGCATTAGGAAACAACAGGGGGGGGGGGGTCCTGGTCCATCTGTGCTGTCAGTATTATAAGAGGTTTATTTACACACATGTACAAATCTGTTTCAATGAATCACGTATAACAAGAAAAACTGAGCCGCGAGACACTCAAACACCAAGACTGTGATGACTGCCAGAAAAAATGTCTCCAAACTTCTTGATGTACATATGCAATGGCTTTTTTTTCCCTTTATCCTTTTTATTTTATTTTTTTGTTCATTCAGACAAGGTGAAAAATGCAACGACTGAAAAAAATACATTTAGGATTTTCTTATTATTTAAGAACAGCGTTTAACCACTAATTTTTACAAATGAATTTACTTCCTGTCACACCTGGAGGGGGTTTCCATGGAGACGAGCCCCACCGCCTTCCCCGGCTCCTGAACCCTTGGAGGACATCACTGTACCCATGGAGTCTGCACTGAACTGTCAGCTTCTGTTTTCTTTCACCGTCTAAAGATGCTGAAAGTGGGACCATGGCTGGCTTTTTGTTTTCCGTTCTGTTTTGTGGTTTTTTTAACAACGGTGGTTTGATCAGGTTGTTGCAACTCACCGATCCTCGCTCCCTTCTTTCCCAGTTTGTGTACCGTAGTGTTTGTTTTATTTATATTTGTCATTCTACACAGTGTTATCTTGTATGTTGTAAAAAAGAAAAAAAATGAAGAAAAACAGGCACCTCTTGAAAGTCTCTGAAAGGTGATGATGGATTAACTGAAGTCTCTTTATTCTTTTTGGTTCTTATTTTGGGATCATTTGCTTCTTTGTTTTCTTACCAAAACTTTAGGGCAAAAACCCGGTAGTGGACTTGCGTTGCCGTGTTAGTATTTATTTTGAATTAAATTAAAAGAAATATGTTTCAGGGTTGTTTTTTTTTTCTTTATTGATTCTGTGACTTTTATTTTTATAAGATTTTGGGTCTTTAGAATAAAAAAAGAAAAACGTATGAAATAAAGTTAGGTTATTGTTATTCTCTAGCTATCTCTCAGCCTCCTTAACCCAACACTGGGAAAAAATCGAAATCTCAAGTCATTTTTTTTTTCTAAAAATAAGTGCATTTGTTCTTGGATTAAGGAGGTAAAAGAGACATTTTGCTAATGGAACAAGACAATTTACATTTAAAATAAGAAAAAACACAATTGCATTGTCTAATTTCAAGTGCATTTTATCTAATTATACTGCTATAATATAAATACTCATTCAATTGGCAAACTATCTCATTTACCTACTCAAATTAAGGGTGATTATACTTAATTTATGAAATTTGTACTTATTTCTAGATCGTTTTTCCAGTGCAGCAGGCATCCCCAAAGTCAGTCATGGAGGGCCGCTGTCCTGCAGGTTTTAGAGGTTTCCTTGCTCCGGTTGGGGGAGTATATGCTGCCCCTAGTGGAGGAGTTTAAGTATTTTGGAGTCTTTTGGATTAATTGCTGCATCATAACTTCTGCCCTGGATGGTTTCCTGCTTTTTTCAGATCAGTCCCCTGGTTTTCTGCAGGATTTAGATCTGAGGAATCATTTCGCTTCTGATCAGGTCAAACAGACCCAACAGGAACCCATCGCTTTAACTGGCATCCATCTGAAACTAAACGGGGATTTTAATCTAGAATCTCTTAACACTTAACATGGCGATACCTTATACACTGCAAAAACCATTTAGAATTAAGTAAAAAAATTGTTAAATTGAGTGTACTTGCCCTTAATTTGAGTAGATAAATAAGATGATTTGCCAATGGAATGAGTATTTTTACTCCTAAAACATGAGAATTATATACTATGCAATTGAAATAAGACAAAGCTATTTTTTTTTCTTATTTTAAATGTAAATTGTCTTGTTCCATTGGCAAAGTATATCAATTACCTCAATTCAAGAAAAAATGCACTTAATTTAAGCAAAAATTAGTCATTTAGATTTCCATTTTTTGCAGTGTTGCAGGTTATCAGGGTTTTGGACATAAAAACAGGCCCACAGCATCACTCTTGATATTTGGCACCACTTGCTTTTATGTTTGTTGCCAATCTCGGTCTTAATCCCACATAACAAAAGCTCTCTTTTTTTGCTGAACCTGCCTTTATAGTCCCGGTGCGTGTTGAGAAGATAAGTACTGGTCCTCAGTCCCCTTAAGAAAAAAAACTCTTCTTCTTCTTCTTGGTTTTTATTGGCGGTTGGCAAACTTTTAGTAGCATTACCGCCACTTACTGGTATGGAGTGTGGTTCGTGATGATCTATATACTTTCACTTCATACCTAATCCCTACAATGACTTCTGATTAAACATACATTCACACATACACACCTACTTATATTACCTACCTTGCATATAGTTTTATATACTACTTGTTATTCTTAACACATTCACAACCATCTTGTTCTACTCAGATTCTATGACACAACCTTGGTTTTTTAAGAAACCTAATAATTATTTGAATATGTCTACTTCCCAAATCTCTCCTCAAAAGTTCTGTTAAATTAAACCTTTCTTTAATACCTTCAAACTCTCTCAACATGCATCTTCTCTCTTCTTCATATTTATACAGAGATGGCAAAAGTACTCACTTTCTGTACTTGAATAAAAGTACAGATACTTGTGTTAAAGAATACTCTGCTAAAAGTGGAAGTACTGATTAAACTTCTTTACTCAAGTAAAAGTAACAAAGTAGAGGCTTGTAAATTTACTTAAAGTATAAAAGTAAAAGTAGAAACCACTTTTTTCATGCCGTTGCCTACATTTTAAATGGATGTCTGCCAATAGGACTAGATCTCCGTTGTGTTCATTTTCAATCATCTCGTCGTCCATGCTACTATGCTAACGCCACCGCCACCAAGCTGCAATGATTTGCCGCCAATGAATACCGCCGAATCTGTCGATTCATCTTGTAGTGGTGCGTCAAATGCAACGTAGATTCCCATCCAATTAGATTGAATTTGGTATTGATGACGTGAAAAATAATAACGGTAACTCCATTGAAATGATTCAAAACTAAAGTAACGAGCCAATTTTTTAAAATGTATGGAGTAGAAAGTACAGATATTTGTGTAAAAAATGTAAGGAGTAGAAGTAAAAAGTCGCCATAAAAATAAGTAGTAAAGTAAAGTAAAAATATCAGAAAAATCTACTTGAGTACAGTAACGAAGTATTTGTACTTCGTTACTTTCCATCTCTGTATTTATAACACTCTATAATAACATGCTCTATTGTTTCAAACTTCTCACAATAATCATATTTCCCAGTTTTATGCTTCTGTATTTTAAAGAAAACTAAGAGAACTGAAATTAAATAGAAATTTATAAAAAAAAAAAATAAATAAAAGCAAAGAAACTTCCAGAAAGTGTAAATTTAAGATTTGATCTTTATTAGGGAGGAGTAAGTTTGCCGCTCTTAATGAAAAAAAAATATTTAATTAGTGAATAAACTTGTTCAGATTTAAGGTTGGACAGGTGGGAGGGAATAAATGTGGATATATCCACCCCTCAGGTTTAATGTTTGTTCTAAAGGTTTAAGACATTTTAAGTCCCACAGAAAAGAAACTGGGATTCAGACGCTTCAGCTGGACTTTTTAACTGAGATACAAAATCCAACATAACACTCCTTTCTCTGACAGAGCGTCATTGTGAGCGTCTGATGGGGAACCTGCCTCAGTTGGACCAGGAGGTTAACCTTTATTCAGCTTTAAATGGTCCCGGCTACAAAAATGACCCGATTTCAGCTCATTACAACAGAACTAGACCGATGATCAAACTCAAGGTTCGGTCGTTTGCTACGTCCACAAAAATAGAAAAACTCATCCGGGCCAAAAACGAGCAGAACGGAGGAAGACGCCACGTTCCCACCGAGATCATCCAGCCTCCCAGCAGCACTTCAAAAGGCCAGTCCAGTGCCGAGCCGCACCAGAACCAGTCCGCTCAGAGCTGAGCCATGAGGGGAGGGGGGGTTGTCTTTCACTCTGGTATGGGTGGGGGCCAGTCCACATCCACAGACTAATGGAGAGAACATCCGTTAGTCTTATTGGCACCAATCAGGATTTTAAAGTCATCATTCCTATTTTTAACTTCATCTTAAACAGTCTAGAAAACATAGCTCTATCTCCTCACCTCCACGTCCAGCTCCAGGATGTCGGTGTCCGTCTTCAGCAGCTGACACAGGTTGGGTTTGGTGCGGCCAAAGTCTCCATGGACGAACTCCTTGATGTAGCTATTTGCTGGAAATTAAGGAAGTTTTAGTCACAGCTTGGACCCCCACCGCTAACAAAGGAAAGTTCTGTCTGGGACAGGTCTACGATGCTCGTCAGCTACTTCTCAGACGAGGTTTGGTACTCGAAGTGAGGATACGTTCCAGCCTGTGTTTTCAGTCCAAGGTAGAAATGATGCGGGTCAACGAAGCGGGCGTTCATGCTGTGGATGACCCTCTGCCGGATGGCCAACGCCCGTCGGTGCAAAACCCGTAGAGGAGTCTTCTGGTCCAGAGTCAGATCCTGGCAACACAAAGTCACACGTCTCACCTCTGGTTAGCTCAGCTGATCTACTTCGCCTTGTTAAATGTTTAGTTTGTTAGGGGAAAAAATTGAGATACTAAACCCTGGACAAAAAAAATAAAAAATAAT